TCTCTCTCTCTCTCTCTCTCTCTCTCTCTCTCTACATTCGCCACTCTCCATTAATCACATACGAGGCTGTACAGGAAGGCTTTTGATTTCATTACGGTTCAGCGGTCGGACATAACCGCAGCTCATTACTCCACCGTGACCTGATCCAATTAATTTTGCGTCATCGACGTCTTCCGTTCTCCCCCGCCCTTCTTTCCCGGCCACTCTCTCCCTTTCTTTCTCTCTTGCTCTCGCCACGCACAGAGAGAGAGAGAGAGAGAGAGAGAGAGAGAGAGAGAGAGAGAGAGAGAGAGAGAGAGACAAATGTTCGAAGTGTCGAGGTCACAACTACTTGGGCGCCACGCCGACCCGATTCGTCATCGGTCGTGGAAATAGACAGCGCGTGAGCGAGCGGAGATTGCTTTAAGAAAAGAAAATTATAAGAGAGAGAAAAGGATAGAAAGAGAGAGAGAGAGAGAGAGAGAGAGAGAGAGAGAGAAAGAGAGAGAGAGAGAGAGAGATAGATCTCGCGACACAATAACATCACGACAATCAATTACACTTATTCCTTGGACTCCCGTCCGTCGACCCTCGTTGCTATACTCGTTAGTTAACTAGCTCGGCGTATCTCTACCCCGTCGCGATCACTCGCAACGGTCACACGATGAATTTCAAGCCCGCACTCGCGCCTACGTACGACGGGGGGATAGCGCGAATACGCGCGACGAATACGACGGTCACGCGTTCTCTCGATCTCGACTGACTCGGATGTGTGTCACCCAGGTGGGTAAGCGGTGGTGGTGGTGTCTGTCACACCGTGCCGCGGGTGCTGAGGCCGACTGACTTCGCTCCGCACCGTATACGCGTCCGACCAGGGTTCGTGCACCACCAGAAAACGGCGATTCGCCGAGCGTAGCTGGCTGGCTGGCTGGAGGTGGTGGCTGGTTCCGTCCGAGGGACGGCGGGGAGATCGCCACCCTCAAGCGGAGGGTGGCGAAAGGCGGAAGAGGAGATGGATATCGGCTACGGGAGAGAAGGAGACAGAGAATGGTGCGTGCGCCGCAACAGGTTACACCTTAGGGACGATATCTCGGGGGAGAGGGGAGGGGGG